ACTACAGACAGACACACTACTGGTGCACTGCAGGCAGACATACACACTGCCGTCACACTGCAGACAGACACACTGCCGTCACACTGCAATTGCACTGTAGACACACTGTTGTCGCACTGCAGACAGACAAACTGTAGACACACTGCAGTCGCACTGCAGACAGACACACTGCCGTCACACTGCAGTTACACTGCAGACACACTGCTGTCACACTGCAGACAGACAGGCACACTGTCATCGCACTGCAGACAGACAGGCACACTGTCATCGCACTGCAGACAGACACACTGCCGTCGAACTGCAGACAGACACTCTGCCGGCACACTGCAGACAGACAGACACACTGCCGTCACACTGCAATTGCACTGCAGACACACTGTTGTTGCACTGAAGACAGACAGACACTCCGCCGTTGCACTGCAGACACACTGCCGTCACACTGCCGACAGACACACTGCCGACACACTGCCATTGCACTGCAGACAGACACACTGTAGACACACTGCCATCGTGCTGCAGAGAGACAGACACACTGCCGTCGCGCTGCAGACAGACACACTGCCATTGCACTGCAGACAGACAGACACACTGCTGTCGCACTGCAGACAGACAGACACACTGCCGTCGCGCTGCAGACAGACAGACACACTGCCGTCGCGCTGCAGACAGACAGACACACTGCCGTCAGCAGCTTTCTAGTGCAGACAGGGCTGTAGGCCCCCACCACTAGCACGGACCACACAAGAGATCGACAGCGAGGAACAGACCCAGGCCGGCAGCTAAGCTGGAAACGGGCACCAGATAAACCGTCTGTAGGCCACCACTGCTCTGAACAGGGAAGGGATGGAGGTGGTGACTCGGTCCAATAAGGACGCCGCCCGCTAAGTCTTACGCACGCTGGTGCCTTCAGGGGGTTGGGGAGGTGAGCGTATTAGAAAGGGCCGCCAGCCACTGCTGGGCTTGGCAGAACTTGGGTGGGTTTGTAGAGGGAGAAACATTGTTCTCCTTGGCCTCTCAGGACAGGGCAGGGAGCAAGGGGCTTACACTGCAGCAAGGGAGGTTTAGGCGGGACAGCAGAAATAACTTCCTGCCTGGGGGTGACACGCTGGAATAAATTGCCTAGGGAGGTTGTGGAATCTCCAGCCCTGGAGATATTTAAGAGCAGGTTGGACAGACACCTGTCAGGGATGGACGGTGCTTGGTCCTGCCAGCCCTAGGATTCTGTGATTAACACGGAGCATCACCCCCGCCTCCCCGACGCAGAGGAGCATCCAAAGAGCAGGGAACGTGTTCCCCGAGTGCCAGCGTGGTACAATGGGTTCTTTGAGAGGGGGCAGCTGGCAGGGAGGCTGGCTGGAGAAATGTGCAGCTGGGGAAACCCAGATTTGTGTCCAGGAGCCGTCCCGTCGCGGTTGCCAATTTCCAAAACAAAACTGCCATTTCTCTGCCCGCATGGCAGTTGCCTCAGAGCTGGAGGGAGAACGGGCTGGGAATTTCAACCGAAACTCCCGCTGGGTTAACGCTTTGCTGCCTGGCATGGCGCTGTCTGCGGCACACGCGCGTCGGATCTGGAGTGCCGGCGCATCGCTGCGTGGTGTGGCTCCCGCGCCCGGCTCAGAGACACGGGGATTTTAACAACCCCTCCACCTTTTCCTCATCCCATGGCCCAGTCGGGTGGGGTCCCTCTGTCCAGAGCAAGCTGGAATTGTTGCCAGGCCACGGACGGACCAGTTCAGGGAGGCTGGCCAGCCTCATAGCTGGAAACCGGGGCTAGGGAGAAAGGCACCACCTTGGGGATCAGGCCAGAAACGTGGCTGCTTGGCAGGTCAGGCCCCTCCAGTGCCTGCACTAGCGATGCTGCCTTTCCGTTAGTCATTCCTCTGGACTACTTCAACCAACCTGTGGAACTCCTTGCCAGAGGATGTGCTGAAGGCTAGGACTTGAACAGGGTTCAAAAAAGAGCTAGATAGATTCCTGGAGGTTAGGTCCATCAGTGGCTATTGGCCAGGATGGGTAGGCATGGTGTCCCCAGCCTCTGTTTGTCAGATGATAGGGGAGGGATCACGTGAGGATTCCCTGTTGTGGTCCCTCCCTCTGGGGGATCCAGCATGGGCCGCTGTGGGCAGACAGGACACTGGGCTGGATGGACCTTTGGTCTGACCCAGTCTGGCCATTCTTAAGTTCTTCTGTTCAAATCCCGGTGACCGGGGTTGGTGCGGGGACGTGGGGGAGACGCAGGAGTCACTCGACAATCTGGTGGCCCTTGTGGCCTTAAAAGCTGCGACTCTGCTCCCCTGCCCACGTGCCCGATGTCTCACCGAACCACATCCTCCTGCGCTCCCGTTGGCACCAGGCATCTCCCCCCGGACAAGCCCCCTTGGGGCAGGGCCTGGCCCCGGGACCTCCCAGGCTGCAGTGGGCGAGGCTACAATGCGGGGTCCACAGCTCGCCGGGTGAGCAGAGGAGGGGCTCCGCGGAGAGGGGTGTCCAAGGCCAGGGGAGGAGCTTGGGGTGGCTGGGGGGTGGAGGGAGGCCGGCAGAGGCCCCTGGAGCTGGGGGAGGTGAGGTAGCCCTGGCAGAGGTCACCCTATCTGCTGTGCTTTGGGGGCCCTTTGACCCCAGCGTTGGCGCCCGTGTCCTTCTCCCCGGTGGTGACTCGCTGGCTTTGCTGCATCTTTCCTGCCCCTGGCTGCTGTGAGCCCACGCGGGCTGCCCGGGGTGACACAGGGACGCGCCGTTTCTGCCCCGGCAGCCCAAGAGTCTCTTTCACGGGAGGGTGGGCACCCAGCCACGAGGCCACAATGGAGGGGCTGAAAGGGGGGGGTCCTGCTGCCAAGTCTTTGGCACCGAACTGGACCTTCTTTGCTTGACTGACACTCGAGGACAGGACCCCTGCCCCTTGCCCACGCTGGGGAGCGACGCCCCCCCCCCCGGCCAGGCACCTAGCACTGCAATGGATCTGAACTGTGGGGCAGGCCCCAGTCCCGTGGCTCTACGTGGCCACGGGCGCACGGTGCGGCCCGGAAACCGGCTTTCAGAGCGCTCCTCCGCTTCGGCTCCGCTGCCACGCACGGGCCAGCTGGCCTCAGAATTCCACCTGACTCGTGGCCCGAGGGCCGGTGCTGAGGGGTCTGGATGCTTTGCCAAGGAGCAGAGAGGGCGAAGGGGGGTTTCCACCACCTCACTCCAGCTCAACATCCCACCCCCAGGCCTCGCCTCAGAGCAGATCGGTTCCTTTCCTGCCTTGCACCCCGGGATCCCTTCTCCACTAGCTCAGCACAGGTCGCTCGGCCTGGCCAGCGGGCACTCCTGGGGCTGGCGTTCTAGGCTCGCTGCCTGGGCACAGCTAGCTGGGGGATGGGTTCCCTCCTGCCCGAGGGAGGAGAACGCCACTGCTGGCGGTAAAATCCACGTGCGTGTGGCTGGGCTGAGAGCACAGCGCCGTCTGACTCACACGGGCCCCTCCATCCTACGCCATCGCGCCCTCCTCTCTGGTTCCACCTCCCACCCTCGTCGGGTTTCACATGCAGCACCCTGCCCCCTTCCTGTCCCCTCCCAGCCCTTCCTACCCAGGCTGTAATTAAGGTAAGAGATACACTGGGGAGATTAGGGGTTTCTTTGCGGGACATGAATTAAACTGCAAGCGGCCTTTCTCTTTTCCAGCCCTCATGAATAAGCAATGAAAGGTTCATTTATTCAGCGATAAGGGAAGCGGGGAGTTTACGGAAAAACCCACCGCGCTGTGAAACGGCCGCGCGCTTAGCAACCACAGGCAAGCAGCTCCCTCCGCTAATTAAAGGCTGTTTCCATGTCGCCCGAAGACGGCTGTGCGCAGGCCCAGCGTTCACAGAGAGCGCCTGTTCCCGGCCTGCCTCCGTCCAGCTGCGAGGCACGCCCAGGGGAATTCTGATCTCCCACCACGGACAGGAGCGAGGGCAGGGGCCCGGCTCCGAGCGCTCTGGTGCGTGTTTAGAGAGAAGTCCCCTCGCAAATACACAGACGTGACCTGAATATTTCCCCGAGCTTCTTGCCTGTTTCCTTTCCCCAGACGCTTGCTCCTTTCCCCCGGCTTCCTGCCTGCGCCCAGCAGCGCAGGGACACCCCGCTCCGGGAGGGACGGAGCCAATCAGGCAGGGCTACGGAGCGCCTGTGTTTACACGCCAACTGCTCAGGGCTCTCCCACGAAGAGCAAGAGGCCGGCTTGACGGGAACGCGCTAGAACGTCTGCAAGGCGCAGTGACGTCGGTCCGTTTCAGGTCGGGGCTGGGCTCGCTTGCACAGCCCTACGGACCCCATTCTGCCAGGCGCTGGGGAGCTGCAGAGGGCAAAGCCCCGCCTGCCCCAAAGAGCGTATTCCCCAAAGAGCGTACTGTCTGCTCGCCGAACGCAGCGGCGGGGCCTTGCTGGGGCTCAGCTCTCGGCCTTTGCTCGGAAACGATATTTGAGGGACACAAAACCGGAGGGGGCCTGTATGGTCGGATCCCTGCAGCGACGAGCAACGTTTTCCAAATCACCTACAGGGCAGAGGTGCCTAAAATGAGCAAAAGCACCTAAGTGGTTTAGGAGCCTAGGGCTCACTTCCAAAAGTGGCAGGCACTTACGGTCACAAGTTCAAAGGTATTTAGACACCCGAGGACAGACACGTGTCTGGCAGGGCCTTCGAAAGCATCTAAGTAGGTTCAGTGTCTCACCGATCCGATGGGAGTTAGGCACGCAGGTGCTTTCGAACCTAGCTGCATCTTTATGCACCTAAATACCTTTGACAATCTGGCCGTAAGCGCTGAAGCCCCTTTTGAAAAGGGGATTTGGGTTCCTAAGAGGTCTCCTCTGCCAATAAATATTCCGATGCCAGCCGGCGACCCTCCACGATCCACTGCCATCCCGGACGTCCCTGAGGGGGCAGATGGCCGGAGCCCCCCTTTCCTTCCCAGGAGCTCAGCCTCCCGGAGGAGTCGCTTGCGGGCCCCCGTCCGTGCCACGCGGGGGCCAAGGGGGCTCACCTCCACCTCCAGGTACTCGTGCAGCTTCTTGCAGGTGGCAGCAAAGGTCTCCGTCGTGCCGAATTCGAAGTACCACAGCTTGTTCTTCATCCTGGCCCACGGGACAGAGCGGGGACAGGCGTGAGCGTGTCTGCCGG